TTTCTTACTTTCCTTCCGCCTACCCCAATCCGCTCATTTACAGTTGTCAAAGCCATATGCGTGCCCACTCATACCACACGTCAACTGCCGGTTGCTTCTCCTTCTCCTTCGCTTTTGCTTAGGTTTCTTGTTTTGTAGCTCGTTTGCATATGCAATCAGCAAATCAGCACAGTCATCTGGTTGTCTCGAGCAATTTTTTTGCTCGACTATGAGGTTAAGGTGAAAACGATTTAATTCAATAATCAAGCAAAATTGAAAAAATAAATAAATAAGAAATTTATGAACTCTTCATAATGGCGGTGGTGGCTGCAAGTGGCGTTGGAGAATTTGCAAATTAAAAATTAGCTGACAAAAAATGTTGATGGGTGCCACAAATCGATGTGGTATATACATATGTACATATATGTGTTTATGCCTACATTCGCAAAAAACTTTGAAGTTATTTATTTACGTATGCATATACATATAAGGATATAAATTTTGTTCTCTTATATCCATCACTCAATATAAGATTGTTTTCTATTTCAAAGGGTTGGTTCAAAATTTCCATAACTTTTGGACAAATTATTTCCTTACTTATAACTAATACAACTAATACAAGTAAATCTACAATTTTGATTCATAAATAACCGTTTATGAACTAAATGGAACATAGCAACACTTGTCGAAGAATCCTTAAACTTTCTTCTAATTGACGTTGAAACAAAATTAACAAGAGACATCTGTCTGGATATCTTTGGAATGTAACGAAAACGAACGATTTTCAATTACCATTCTTTTTTGAAGGCGTTTTATACCATTATTATCCATCATATAAGTCTGCTTTATTTTCTATAAAGCCCAATTTGTATTAGGATCAACAAAAACTTTACTAATAGCACTTTACTTCCTGTAATTCTTTACCGCAGACCCATATGTGAGTTCATTCAGTGTACACATTTTACGGTATAACCAATTTATATTTTTGGAAAATAAATGGGCCCATAATTATTAAAGTGCTCCAAGTGAACCACACGACATGATTTTAAACTAAATTTATTCAATGCAATTTTTACGATATCGTCAAAAATTAACCTTTAGATAGTAGTTACAACGTTATACGGAATTCATTTATTGTTAATTATGAAAGTGGTCTAAGTCCACAATTTAAAGAAATTATATAAAAATTGTGGAAAAAGAAATACATTTTCGAACAAACGAATGTTGCAGACATATTTTATTTCAAAGAAATCACTCGAAAAATTAATAACAAGGAGAGTAAATAATACCGCTGGCGAATCTGTCTCTTGGCTTAAAATTCAATGAATGAGATTCTTGAAAAATGGACCTTATAAAATATTTCATAAGACTTCTTTAGATGATTTTGAATTCCAAGCTTTGGATCTTTCACGTAAAAGAGGAAGACCAAAAATATACGAAAATCTGCAATTATTGTACTTTCATTATACAACACCGCCAGACCAGTAACGGAAGAAAAACATAAAGATCTTATGTGTTTACTACCACACATTCCTCCAGTTCTTCAGGAACATTTTGAAAATCTTAAAAATCGAAATTATAATAAAAATTGATTACTATTAAAAATGATTAATAAATATTTATGAATTATTTCGTTAAAGCTGCTGTTTTAAGTAAATTTCACAATTTTTTATTATTCTAATTTAATTATAGGACATTCAGTTAGTTTTGAAAATGGTCTTAGTCAATTCAAGCTCTAAAAACAATATTTTCCTATGAAATTCACACAATTTTTTTATATCTATAATAAATTTCTATTAATGAAGGCTAAGAAAATTGAGATAAAAAAACCATATTCTAGTGAGGTAGCTGGACTCATTATTGAAATGTCTAAAAATTTAATAAAGGCGGTGGAATGAACGTATTTTGTGGAAATGGTAATAATTATCTAGATTAGCGATAAAAATGTTAGTAATATTATATAAAGCAGAACATCCCATAACAAGGTAAAAGGAAAAATTCAATTAATAACTGTAATATTAAAATATTAAAGGTAAAATTCTATCACACAACGTCAACTTTTTAAAACAAAAAAAAGTATATAACTTAACCCTCCAACTCCAGTCCCAATTTCGCAGTAAAGATGAATCGTTGCGGTTAATCACAATTGTCGCGTTTTCGCATTCAAACATTTGCGATATCCTCTTTTTTTACTTTTGCGGGCAAATAAAAACAAGGCAAACGTTCCCGCGGTTACCACAGTGCAAACACAAATATTGTTTACCTCCCCCCACCTCAGCGTCACAATGAGCCGTACACACTTCAGGGGACATGTCAGCACAGAACATATACCAATTTGTACCGGAGGCGGTGAAATATGCATAGAACAAGGTAAACAGCAACAACAACAGGTCACGCCAAACAGGAAGACACGGCGACTGCCATGAAGCGCTGCGTGCGGCATCGTATGTCAAAATAAACAAGTTCATGTCATTGCAGAAATTTCATTTAATTTGCTTTGGCGTGTGGTTGTCGCGAGAAACAAGCGCAAATATGGTACACACAAATGTGCGAATGTATGTGTGGGTGAGGGTACAAATGTTGACTGCGTTAAATGAATAAAAGTGAAAAATGGTTAAAGACTTGGCGACAGCCGAAGCGGAAGCGGAAGTGCTCAAGCGACCAGGGCACCCAACGAGCCGCTGGTGGTACTCACGACCTCACACAAAACACAAATAACCGTTATTTCTGTATATGTATATATGTACATATGACAGCGTATGAGCAAACCCCCGACGCGTAAGCAGCCACGTAAAAATGCGCGTTCAACGGAATTTCGCGGACTACTAAACCTGAACCCAAACGCGACCTGTGCACGCCCCCTCCCCGCTATTGTCTTTTTTCTGCCTTTAGGAAGGCGTTCAAATCGCAAATTACCGCCGCTGATGAGTACAGCGTTGCCGCGGAAGCAAAAAATTATGCGTTTTATAAATATTACTTTGCGGGGGGTACACGCCAACAACAAAACTGAACGCTAATTTCTTTAACTATGCGTGTGTGTGTATGCATGCGCGAGGGTTGTTTGTCATTTTTGCAAAGCGTCGCTGATTTTCTGTTCCGTTATTTTGCGTATTGGCATTTTCCGCAAATTCGGTAATTTTTTCTGCCGTTATTTGCTTACCGCTGCTCATTTTTTTGATACTGATCATGGTTGTTGTGGCTCTCTGAGTCATGTGGTAATTGGATAATGCGATACTTTGGTGTGATTTGAGGCGCGTTAAGTGAATTAGATTGGTTCAAGGTAAGGAAGATGGATGGTAGATGGTAGAGCAAATTAATGTGTTTTTGTAATAATGGAAATGTGACATATGCAGACATTGGAAGCGCAATAAAATATAAGGAAATTAAGGGAAAGACAGTGCGATGCTAACGCAGTGGCTACAGACGATATTAAATCGTGCCCTACATTGTCCTGAACTCCCTGCCTATTTATGAATATATTTCAATATCCATATAATTAGAAATAATTTGATCGCTATGTAATGTCCTCTGCAGTAATGACGTCAGATTATATCCTGCCGAGGTTGGACTTCAACATACATATTTTTAGTTGAAGTTTTTCTCTGAACAAGAATAACTGAAAGGTGCACTAGGGAAGCACTGTTTACAACTATACTCATGAGTTCTTAAATGTGGTATGTGTTGATCTTTGAAGATCCGAAGTACCTTTTACCCAATGATTTTTACAACCCTATTTACATTATGGACCTTCGCAAAAGAAACAGCATTGTCATCGTAAATGAAATCTTCTAGCATCAATACAGTAAGTAGTATGTACTTGTAGTATATAGTATGTAGTAGTAATAGTAACTACCACTACTGATTTCGAAAAAATAATGAAACACATCCTCCACTTTCAAAAATCAAACAAATAATGCCCGGACAATATCACGTACAAAAACTAGAATGGCTATCCGCGAAATGCATATCTAATATACAAATATAAGTAGATTCATCTAGAATATGAAGTGCTTTGCACTAAGTAATAAATCGGTAATGATGTCTAATTATGTAATTATTAGCTAGCTTATCCTTTCTATGTATGTATACCATATGTGAAATGTTTGAAAATTAGGCGATGTATTTCAGAAAGCTCTATACAAAGCTTTATGTATTTAGGAAAATAAACAAGTAATATTTATGGCAACTAAAGCAAGATATATAAAGAAAACAATAAAAAACCGCTAACTTCGGTTGCACCCTTTACATATACAAAAAATTGATCGGTTAGTTTGTATGACAATTACATGCTATAGTAGTCCGATCTAAACAATTTCTTCAATGATTATACCGCTGTTTTGGACAATCACTCAAAGAAATTTCGTAAAGATATCTTGTCAATTAAAAAAGTTTTCCATACACGAACTGAATTTTGATCGGTTAATTCGTATTAAAGCTACTATACGCTATACTTGTCCGATATCGTCGGTTCCGACTAATGTGCAGCTTCTTGGGAAGAAAATAATATGTACAGAATCAGATCCATATCTCAAAACTTGAGGGACTAGCTCGGGTATCTGGTATCAGCACTTCCTTCTGGGTAGTATAAACTTCGTGCCAAACTTAATATACTCTGTTCAGGGTATAAAAATAAAAACTCTCCGCAAATAAATAATATGGGCTCATAGATCCTAAAATCATTCCTCTTTAAGGTTTGGAAAAGTTTGAATGACTTCAATTCAAAAATTTCAATCAACATGCCATATTAAAAAGCTTTTGTGCATACATACGCTGACACATACCTTTATACTATCCTGAATTATATTCCATAGCTTTTAATATAAATATTTTCTTAAGAAATTATCCATAAAGTTAGTCCCCAAAAAATATAAATACTTATATTAAATGATAATATATATATATTCGTTTGGATTAATTTACCTCATATAAAATAATGAAGAAACGATAAAATCTTTGATAATATAGAATTAAAACGAGTGATATATAATTAATAATATAATATTTCAATTTATTTAACTCACCTTTGATTTCCATATATTAGCTCTACTGCGTATGTGTATATTTCTTCGTTAGTTCTCATTCGCCGATTGAGGAGTGATTTGATCGCTAACTGGCGAATTACACTCAATTAATACTAATAATTAATTAAGCGACGCGACACCTATGCCACATTAGCAAATCTGCATAAGAAAGCAGCTACCACACACATAGCGATTAACAGCTACACCAACACTCGCGGCAGCAATTAATGAACACTACACACATTTTTACACAGATGTGATTACATATTTTATTAGAATTAAAATATTGAATTTATTTTAGTTAAAATGTATAAAAAATAAATATATGGTAAAAACAAACAGATTTACTTTAATTATGAACTCTACTCAACTGAATTACTTTCATATATGGTACACTTAAAAGCTTTTATTTTTTTTAACATGATTTTTTAAAATAATTTTCAAAGAACACTAATTTTAATGATTTAGTAGAACTTGTTATTTTTCCTGAAATTTTTTCAACACTATTTTACTATTATGAAATATTGCCTTTGTCACAAAACGCATTTTATTCACTTGCATTTTAATTTAGAACACACTTTTTACTGGAAACATTTAATTGATACGTATTAATTATTGGCCCATCAGTGTGGCGACTATTTCGCTATTGGGAACTGCACGTAGAATAAAGAGACTTTTATTTTTGCACACTTTTGCTTTTTTAGCAACTATTCTACAACACTTTCATTACATGACGCGATTTAATAAAATTTTTTTAATATATATTTACCCCTTCTACACTTTTCACACACTTTCTTCTACATTTAAATGAATTAAAGAGCCGCGAATCGCAACTTCAAACACTAACACCTGAACAAGGCAACATCCGATTTGCAACTACTCAGTTAGCTGTCCGTTTACTCGCTGAAATAATGGTGTGATCGAACTTTAGAGTGATATTTGGATTTTCTTAGGATTTTTTTAGACAAAGAGTGCTGAAATAAAATATAAAAAAATAATCAACGCAATACTAAATTATTGTAAAAGTTATAATTTCAATTAAAACAATATAAAAATATATTTTTAAGCAATTTTTAAATGAAATAAAATATATAATTTTTTATTTTCTTTAAAATAATAGTTAATATAATAAATCAAATACGATTTCGACTTCCTTAACAAAATGGATACACATATCAGATATGCAAGATTTTTAAATTTTAAAGAAGGTTAAAAATTTTTTCTGTGAGACACTATTTTGTAATTTCACCAGACTTTTGATGACCTTATCTTGCCAAAAACTACATGTTTCAATAATCAATCGTCTTATTGCAGCAATTTATATTGATAGTCTCTGACACTTCTTTCAGACTAATTTAAAGGGTTTCCACTGAGGAAATCCGTAAATATACCAGCAAAGACCGGTGGGGGAACAAAGAATTCGATTTTCCATAAATTTTAGAATGTAACACGATGTACTAAGGAAGAAGGGAATCTCAAAATAAAGGATATGACATGGATTCAGTCAAAATTCTACAATTTTAACATAACAGTAATGGGTTAACTACAACTTAGAAGCCCTAATACCAATCTCTGGTGCAATTTTTATAGCATAAAAGGTATAAAAAATCTTTATCAGGATTTTGATAAGTTAATTCTTATGTTTATCATATACTATAGCGGTTTGATCTGAACAAAATATTCAGAGATTATACCGCTGCCTTTTTACTATAATTTATGCCAATTTCGTGAAGATATCTTTGACAAATAAAAATTAAAAAACAAAAGTTTTTCATACAAGAACTTAATTTTGATCGATCAGTTTGTATGGCATCTATATGCTACAGTGGTCCGATATCGGCAGTTCAAACAAATAATCAGCTTCTTGAGTAGATCGATGTCTCAAAATCTGAGCGACGCTGACCTTTTATATACATATATATTTTATAGGGTCTCCAACGTTTTCTTCTGTTACAAACTTCGTGACAAACAGGGTACATTAACCTGTACAGATTATAAATACTCGAAGCAAACAAAAACTACTCAAAAATCAACTCACATCTAAAATTTAAATTTTAAAGTATATTAAGCAAAGAGAAGTCCTCAGCAAACACGCTCGCCCGCCATCAGTGATTTATGCCAAAGTAAATATATAAAGCAATCTTGAAATAACGTCGACTCACCACTTCACTATGCATAAATCAATTTTGTTCGAGAGGTTTTAAGACACCTCTGCGAACCCCAAACGGCCGCGTGTTAGCCGAGCTTCTGCTTCAGCCAAACACCTGCCGCCAACGCTGTCAATATCGAGATGCCGATGGTAATGCCAAAACGCATACAAACACACACATATACATACAGTTCACCAACTATTTGTTGTGTATAAAAATTTGGGTTGTTTGCGGCGGAAGGGACTATAATTCATAATGGAAACGTCATCATGACGAGCCCGCAAAGGTTCGATTACGCATCGCGAAGTTTGTTGTTAAGGTGTTGTTTTGTGGTGCTTTTGGGAAGTGAAATATTTTTGGAAAAGGTGACACAGGTGTAGCAAGTCAATTGCCTGATAGGCATTTAAAAGCTGGAAAAAATATATAACGGTTTTAATAAATTTTTTTTATATTCAACATTTGTACGTACTCCATTAATAGCGGCGGTGAAAAAACTTATTGAAATGACTCTACTTTATTGGTTTTAACACTATTCAGCCTTAGAATAAATTCTTGAGTTGATATTGACAAGCAGATCTTACTCCCGGTAAAGCAGCGTCAAACTAAACATATAATTTTAGTGAGAGATGTAGTTGATTCGGCATTTGAGCTCTCTTCCAAGAGACACATCAAAAAAGACTAAAAACACTCGCCGAGTTGAAAGATATACGATAGCAGGTTAGGTTGGGTGCTGGTTCGGGTGGTGGTTCTACGACTGATCCCCAAGATGGAAATCATACTAAGACCACTAAAGAGAGTTCTCCGTGAAGACAGAAAAGCTCTGATATTTGGATCTTATACGTCGACAATACGTTTCGAAACATTCACAAACCTGTTTAGGTATTTTATTAGCTTTCTATGATTAATGTTCGGTGATCCGTGTGGTTTTAGCCTTGACAGGACAGATGCAAAGACGGAACAGTCAAAAGGAAGTGTGAGATAATTTTTCTCGTTTTCTACCAAACAGATTACGATTTGGAAATAGGTCTAAAATATGTATTTTTCAATTAGGTCAGGAAATTAATTTCTGGTTTTCCGCAGCAGAATATCAAAATGGAGCTTATTTTATTGTTAAAAGATGAAATTGAAGCTTTACAAAATACATTTAAATCTACCAAAATAATCAGACCCAGAACCATACAAGTTCTCTACATTTGAACCGCAGTAAAACGTATCAGACGTCGAACCAACAGTCTGGTCCTGGAACTCGCACTGAACCTGTAACTTACCTATATCCACAAATTATCAACAAGGCCGCATTTCTCCAATATTATTTGAGGATATTTCTACCGCTACGATAACAACAGCATGCGCTTTGCTTACACGATTTCCAGAGAACAAACTAAGAGGCGAGAAAAATGTTCATCGTTAATAAGTCGACATCAAAGCAATTAGGATAGATCTTAGGTTTTTTTATACCTTGAACAGAGTATATGTTTGCCACGAATTTTATAACAACCAGAACGAAAGGTAGGAGAACCTATATAATATATATATATAAATGATCAGCATGACTAGCTGAGTCAATTTAGCCATGCCCGTCTGTCTAATACATGCGAACTAGTCCCTCGGATTTTGAGATATCGATCTGAAATTTTGCACCCGTCATTTTCTCACCACGAAGCTGCTTATTTGTCGGACCAATATCGGACCACTATAGCGTATAGCTGCCATACAAACAGAACAATCGGAATAGAGTACTTGTAGGGGAAACTTTTTTGTTTGACGAGATATCTTTATGAAATTTAGCATAGATTATTGCCTAAAGTAATGACGTAATTTTTGAAGAAATTGTTCAGATCGGTTCAGTATAGCATGTAGCTGCCATACAAACTGAACGATCGGAATCAAGTTTTTGTAAGGATCATTCGGAAATAAAAAGCTAAATGATGTTGATTTTGAATATCCATAATTGTTCCAGTTAAAGAGCTTATGGATATAACTAACTCGAATATTTCTACATACCATATATTTAAAAGAAGTTAAAATTTCTATAGAGAAGTATATATGTTACACTTCAACAACCAAACAATTCTTGCCTATCAGTTATAAGCAAATGATATGTGGCAAGTGACCGTAACTACTGACAAATGTGCAACTCACATGTGCCACAAAGTGCTGTCACGTATACACGCACACTCGAACTCGTAAACCACTTATAACCGCTCAGCAGCCCTGACTCCCGGCGCGCTCGGTCGCTTGTCAATAACAAACTGCTTGCCACATTATTTTCTACTAAAGCCTTTTCCGCCATAATGCACTGTAAATGTCTTTAAAGCCTGTCACACACGTAGCCCTTTCCAGTCTACTTGTTCGCTCTATGTGAGAGAAGTCCAGGGGTCCAACTAACAACCTCAAAGTCAACTAACACTCCCCTTCCGCTTGCACTTATGCTGCGTTGGCGTGTGCCCGTTATTGACTTTGCTATTGTTGTTGCCTTTTACATTTATTCAATACCACTTTAGTCTACAGCTGCACACTTACACACATACAAGTACAGCGAGCAATATCTAATCGATTTTTGATTGAATATTGCCAGGCATCCTGTATGCTCTGAGGCATGGAAGTACAGCATTTGAGTGTTACGTGTGTGTGTGTTGGCATGTGTGCACTGCATATGTTGTGCCCGTTATAAATTTTCCGCCTTTTCAAATATCAATAACTGTAAATATTATGAACACGAACTGTGGCAGCAGCGGGTTATGCTAAGTGAGCCGTGTTCCTTCGTCTGACCACCTCTCTGCAGCTCTCCTCTTTCCACATGCCAAAACTCACGTTTCTATGGCACACTAATGTGCAACTAAGCTCCGACCCATATCGTCTCCTTGTACCATATAATGTCTTTATGTGTGTGAGCACCTTGCTATGTTTCCAGCTACCTTTCTCACCCTTTAACCTTCTGTTCGTACTCACAGCCACATGTGCCCCAGTGGCAAGTGCCATTTTGCTGCCACTTCAAGTGAGTTCGGTCCTACATTGCCTCATAGTTTTTTCTGTTTTCTTTAATCGATTATTTTCTTCAGTTCTCCATTCACCAAAAAAATATGAAAAACTGCCGTAACTGTTGGCGAACGTTTAACCCTTCGGCATGCACACACACACACACACTAACATACACATACGTCATAACTGCGCTCAACCCCTTTCGGCAAAGCTATAAAATCGCAATTCTTATACCCCCGTTGCGGTAGCGTATTTTCTCCGCTCAAGCTGGCTTTCTTGTGTGTATGTTTGTATGTGCGCCTTGCTTCGTGCTTCCGCTTGTCCTTCGGTTTGTTATGCCAGCTTATACGAGTAAGCAGTTATTCTAGCGGCATAAATCCAAATATGATCACTTCATAATTTGACATTGATGGATGATGTGATGGATGGCTGGTCGCTTAGTTGGCTTGCTGGCTCACTCTGCTTTCTTCATGGGTTAAGGGGATATCCTTTCGTTTGATTTTATTTACGTATGTGCAAACAAGCATTTGTTGCTTTTTATATTGATTATTGTTTTAGTTGATGTTATGGTTGGTTTTGTTGTTTTTTCGGTTTTGTTATCGTGTCATTCATCCGCATAACGACACTTTGATGGTTTGATTTGATTCCTCACACGTTGATTGTTCTTCGATACTTTTGTTTGCTGATGTGTGTGTTTTTTTTTTCTTCAAAGACATGGTAATAAATTTTAGTTGACTCCCGAGATACCCTACCTTTGGTTTGTTTGGTTTCTGAGAGAAGAAACTATAAATACTTTGAGGGAAGGACTAAATTTGGCATAGCTGAGACTTAGGGGCCAATAAATTATTATATATATGTCGTTCAATATACATCGAATTAGGCCAATTACTTTACGTCCTCTAAAAGATTAAGTCGTCCTTTCAAAATAAGCACCAAACTCGTGCGCCGAATGTCACAGTCAGGCTCAATTAGATAAGGTTAGTTTAGGTCGTCAGGTCACTAGCTGGCTATCATGCTATAAATAGGGCTACTGGTCGTTTGTAATGCCAGATGAAGCTTTAGTTAAATCTACGCTCAAGTATTTGTCATACTGGACATCAACGTTTTTGGTGAATTTTAAGAGAGACTTGATACCTAATTTTGATACTTCATCCAGTCACTTGAACTGCGAAGATCTTAGAAATCCAAGACGTGTTCTAGATACGGCTAGATAGAAGCAAAGGAGGTGTTCCAGCGTCGCTCTCATGCCTACTTCACCGCACTTTCTGTCATACTGCGGGGCCCTTGCGATTGATCTTGGCGTTTGTGAATATCTTAAAAGTATTCCATATCACCCTAATCCGTCTGTCAACCCTTTCGAGAATTTAATTCTATGCCGTTTTTAGGGACGTATGTATTTTGTGTACTAATTCGGTAGCCAAACAGATGGTAATTTTGGCATTCTCATCAGCTATTTCGTTACCCAGAATGCCCTTTTGGCCTAGAACACAGCATAGGTATATGCAGCCGATTTCCGATAGCTACTATTGTACATCTACTGCTTTTAAAGACATTTTGATGCTATCTCACCAGTTTTCCTTACCACAAGGTTAGACATTATTCTCATTTGTGAAACAAGTATCAAAAAATATATATTAATGTCTTCTATATTAGTAACAATGCTAAGACTAAAGTATATGTCAGAAGTATGGAAGATGAGGTAGAAAAGATATATAAATAGTGATTTGGTAAACAAAAAACGCTAAATACAGAAAACAGTACGTCAAGAATATTATACCAAGAGAGAAGCTAAGCCCAATATTCCTAAAACCTATATCTTGTATCTTGGTATCTTGTAAAAAGAAAAAAATGTAGTGTAGGGTGTCCATCGTTCGCCAATACCAATCAATTCCTGTTGCATACGAAATGGACAAGTGAAACACCAATATTATTACGGTAAATATGTTTGTAAGCTGTTGATTATTATGATTCCACGGATGTTCAGAATATGACAAAAATTAAAAAAAAAGAGAAAAAAATACAGAAACACTAAAAAGCAATAACAAAGCGCACATTCTGCGGAGAAGGGTGTTGATGATAATGGTGATTGCTAGTGAGTGATGGGTATCGATATGGTTGGTTATGGCGATTGCGATGGTTATGATGCGGCGCTGATGGAATTTGTGTGCATGCGGTTAATAGATTTTTTACGACATTGACAATTTTCGCACACAACTGCGAACTGGAAGGGTTATTTCGCAAGGTAATCAATGAAACAGCGTAATGTTGGGGCTTTTAGTCGAAGAAAATAGAAGTGAGTTGGTATTTTTTTTTTTTAAGAAGTTTCAATTGCTATTATGGGGTGCTTTAGGTTGAAAGCGATTTTATTTTATGCCATGGAGAAGTGTTAACACAAATAACAGTTTATTAATTTAACAACAACCGTTGTGGTTTTCAACGCCTATAAAGTTTGTGGTTAAATTAACGGGTTTTGTTATTACTTTTAGATTGAATGATGATTGTTTACTGTAAATAACTAAGATACATGATAAAAGCATATTGCATAAAAATACTTGGAACATAATTTGGAGAAAATTATAAAATCATTTGAACGCACTTTAAAAAGTCGGAGAACCAAACTAAGAAGAATATGCTATGAAAAATATCTTATATTCTTCCTTTTCTAAAATATTATATCAAGCTAGCAGAGTAATATTATTGCGCTGTCCCTGATCTTACATCTTTATATTGTTGTTAAAACACGAAGTCGTCAGTTTTCCGATAACCATACGGTAGAAGAAGATATGAACATATGAAAAATGAAATAGAGAAAACCTAAATTCATCCATAATATATATCTTTCAAATTCTTAGTACATGTGCTATCTATTACACCACCTGATCAAATATGACTCAGACTGGTTCATTTAAACTAAGCGCGACAACTGAATCGATGCATATTTTATTTCTAGAATGTTGCAGAAGGGTTTGGCTATTCTAATTTACCACGAACACAAGTGTTTGTGAGAATCTCAACATCACTTATGCATCGACTCATCATGTTTTGGTTAATGTTTTTGGTATGAAGCATGTCAATGCTAAACTCGTACCAAAATAACTTAATTTGTAAAAACGACATCGATCATAGTTTACAAAAGCAATGCTTGACCAGTTGTGGACCCCACATCCATCAAATGAATTACCACTGGTGACTAGACGTGGGTTTATGAATAAGACGACACAACAGGCCAACAATCTAGAGAATGCCGCTCTATAAATGAGCCGAAACAGAAAAAACATACGCAAGTCGGTGAAAAATGAAGGGCATGCTTATGGTTTTCTTTGATTAACGTGGTGTGGTTCACCAAGAATTTGTTTCGCAGGGTTCAACGGTCAATAAGGAATACTATGACCTGGTCAT